AGCAGCCCCAGGCAGGGGGAGCCTGGTCAGCTCCTGGGGGAACTCGGACTCCATTTCCCCAAGCACCATCTCCAGGCTGAGCCCCTCAGCCAGAGGTGGAGCTGTGTTTGGGGGTGCCATGGGCTGCTGCTCACCGCTCCCCCCTGGCAGGGGAGCTCCTGCGGGTCACCCACCTCGCCCGGGGCGTGGATGCCACTGGTGCTCTGCGGCTGGACAGTGTGGTCAGCGGCTCCGTGCCGGACACCATCGGCGAGGCCGCGGTGCTGCTGCAGGTGCCGGCGCTGCCCGTTCTCCCTGTGGGGCCACGACTCTTGTGCTGGGAGCATGGGGATGGTCCATGGCCTGACCCCTCTCCCTGCCTCTCCCCAGGACTTCAGCGAGCGCTATGTGCAGACGGGCACAGGGCAGCTCTCTGGGGGTTCAGTGCAGAGCTTCCTGCGGGATGGGCACATCCTCCATGCCCGCTGCAATCACACCATCGTGTACGACCCCGCTGTGGGCCCACAGCTCCCCTGGGTGCAGCACCTCCGGGCCAGAGCCATCACTGCCTCCTATGACCCAACCACAGAGCAGCTCCACTTCCAGCTCCGTGCCTCGCTTGATGCAGGTAATGAGGGGAGTCCCAAGGATGAGGATGGAGACACCGGGATCCCTCAGTGTCTGTGAGGGTGCAAACACCATGTCCCTGCAGTGACATGTCCCTTCTCATTCTCTTTGCTCAATCCCAGGGGCTGATGGAGACCAGTGCCCACTGGGATTCATCCTGGACCCTGGGCAGCTGTACTGCGTTGGTACGGACCCTTCCCGAGGGGGGCATGAGGATGGCGAAGGGCACCTGGTTCCACTTCCCCATCCCCCCAACCCTGTCCTCTCTCTGCTGCCCAGATGTCGATGAATGCACCGAGGGGTCCCACGCCTGCCGCTACAACCAGCTCTGCCAGAACACTGCAGGGAGCTACCGCTGCCCCTGCCCTCCCGGCTACCGCGCGCTGGGCGTTGGCTGGCCGTGCCTGGGTATGGGCTGGGCTCTCAGGGGACACATACTTGGCCACAGTGCCATGGTCGCACCCCTGCCCTGCTACAGCCTCAATTTCCCCATCCAGCTGCAGCTCATCATCTCTTTCCTCTTCCAGACATCAATGAGTGCCTGCAGTTTCCCCCACCGTGTGCCTTTGAGTGTCGGAACCTTCGGGGCTCCTACGAGTGCCTGTGCCCCCCTGGCAGGATCCTGCTGCCGGGTGGACAGTGTGGCACAGCAGGGACGGATGGAGGGGACACAGTGGGCAGCACGTCCCGGGACACCCCCCTGCGCTGGCTGGGGCCGAGGAGCCACCCGTGGGGACGATCCTTCTACACGCAGCTCGCCCTGCGTCGCGTGGCCAAGGACGCAGGGACGGGTGCCCGTGGCCCCCCCTGCCCTACAGGCTATGTCAAGAGGAATGGCACCTGCACTGGTGAGTGTGTGTCAGGGAAGGCTGTTGCAGATTGTTCAGAGGCCGCTTTGTCCCCAAAAAGTAACTCCTGTGCCCACTGCTGCCCTGTCCCCCACACTTCGTTTGCACCCTGTGGTCTTGGCTGTGCTGGGAAAGGGAGGTGAGAGTCAGACTGTCCCAGGGCAGTGGGCAACAGAGGGGGCTGATGCTTCTCCTTCATCTCTCTCACCCCACAGACCTCGACGAGTGCCAGTCAAAGCACGAGTGCAGGAACAGCCCGGGCAGCTACCACTGCCTGTGCCCCCCTGGCTACCAGCTGCTGTCCAATGGGAAGACCTGCCATGGTCAGTGTGGGGGTGCCAGGGGGATGTCCAGTCCCCATAGTGCCCTGGGTGTCATCTTTCTGGGGCTGCAAGTCTTTCTCCTTCTATGGGAGGGTTGTTTCCAGGCTCAGCACCCCGCAGAGCCTGAGTTTTTGTCCTGCTCCCCCAGTGTCTGAGAGCCCGGGGAAGGGGTGGGAAGGTGTGGGGGTCGGGGTTTGAACCTCCACCTCAGCTGTGGGTACCCAGTACCCTCAGACTTGTTCCCTCTCTCCCTGCAGACACGGATGAGTGTGCAGAGGGCACAATCCAGTGTGACTCGAGCCAGATGTGCTTCAACACCCGTGGAGGTGCCCAGTGCGTTGATGTGCCGTGCCCAGCCGGGTACCGGAGAGGCTCCAGCCCAGGGTGAGTCGTGCTGTGGGGCTCGGGGTGTCCATTCCATGCTCCTCGTGTCACCGTGGACCCAGGTGACCCATGCGTTCCCCCATCTCCCCTGCAGGCTGTGCGTGGGTCGCTGTGCCCCGTCCTGCGGCCCGGCCGGCCCCCCCACGCTGCGGTACGAGCTGCTCACCCTGCCCCTGGGCATCGCTGCCCGCCGGGACGTGGTGCACCTCACCCCAGGCTCCGCCCTCCGCCACCGCCCCGTTTTCACGCTGCTGGAGCAGGACCCCGGCAGCCCCTTCGCCCTCCGCACCGAGCGGGGCCGCGGCATCATCTCCACCCTGCGCCCTCTGCGGGACCCCGGCACCCACCGCCTCAAGGTGCAGGCGCTGGCCCCGGGTGGGCAGAGGGCACCCAGCATCTTCCTCCTCATCATCTCTGTCTCTCCCTACCCCTACTGACACAGCCAAGGGACAGGAGGGGGCGCAGGTCATATCTCCTCCTGTCCCTCCCCACCGCACGGGTGGGGCACGTGGCTCAGGGAGCGCTGAGCTTGCACCTCTCCCCTCTCTCCCAGACACCCCCTCACCCTTCAGTCGTGTTCCCTCCACCTGCTGGCGATCTCTGACTCAGCAGGGTCCCTGGAGGGACAAGATATCCCACCAGCCTCTTGCAATCAGGTCCCAAATCCCAGAGCAAACACAGCTCTGGATGGCCTTGGCTGTGATCAGCTCCCAGATGTGGGGGTGGGAGGATGAACTGGCCAGGGGTGCAGGGAGGGATCCCCCGGCCTGGGGAGGGCACAGGGCACCCTGGCATTAACCATGTATTAAATTGAAATAGTTGGGTTTGGAATTTTTTTAAATCCACTTGGTTTCTGTGCACACTTACTGATTTATAATGGTGTTTTGTGGTTAAACATCAACCCATGCCTTAAGAAAGCAGCTTCCTTCAGCATGTGGGATGGGGCTGCCCCAGCAGCCGCCCAGAATTCCTGGGGCTTTGGACACCTCTCTGCCTGGCCTTGGACCATAGAAGGGAGATTGCCACATCCAGACATTGTCCAGTCCCTGAAGGTCCAATCCTGCCCCAGCATCTGGTCCCTTGGTCAGCAGGAGCAGGATGTGGCCTCTTTGCATGTAGTGAAGGTAGAGACTGTTCCCAAAACACTGTTTCAGCCCTAATCCGTGGTGTGGGATGGTGGCAGTGCACCCAGGTGAGGGTGCTGTGGTCCCATCACTGGAGCCCACTCTTGCTGCACCTGTGTGTGGCCACTGACATTTCCCCCAAAAGTCTCTGTCCTTTGGGATGGGGCTTTCCTGTCCCTCAAGACCAGGTCTGTTGTTGGTCTGGGGTGTCCTGGGTATGTGCAAGGGGGAAAAGTGGTTTTGTTCTGTTCCTCCTGCCCCATCTCCTCCTGCCCACTCAGGCTCCTGCATCTCCTGATAAAGCTTCAGGTAAATCCAATAGTAGTTCAAATAAGTCTTGCTAGTCCAGGGAGGGAAGCCAGATGGTTGCAGAGCATTGGCTCCCCTCTGCCCCCTATTTTCCAACTCCTGGGGCCCTCCAGGGAAGGCTGCTGACAAGGTCAAGATTGGGGGGACATGGAAGGCAGCACCCAGAGCAGCCATACAAGGGCTGGGACTGGGCACCCACTCCATCGCGGCCGGGGGGCAGCTGCCTCCTCCTGTTCTGCCGGGTATCCCGCGGGCAGGCGGAGCACAGGGCCTCTCTCGGGGACCGGTGCCCACGGGGGGACTGTCCTGCGGCGGCTCCGCCTGCCCAGGCCCGGTTATAAAGGAGGAGGAGGAGGAGGAGGAGGAGGAGGATGCTCCAGGCACCGGACCAGAGTGCAGAGGGCAGCCGGACACCGGGAGTGGGTGAGTGCAGGCATGGGATGGGAGGGAGAGGAAAAGGGGGCCTTTGCCTCGGGAAATGTGTTCCCTCACCCCGTCTGTCCCATTTCCACCCACCCACGGGTGTCCCTCACCCCTGGGTGCTGGAGCAGGGCAGTGGGGTGCCAGCCCCTTCCCAGCACTGTGCAGGCTGCAGTCAAGCCCCTCCTAGCTCAGTTTGGGGTGTGGGGTTTCCAAGTGAATCCCATTTCTCTGAGAGTCCCCTCACCCACCCCAAGGGAGGGCAGCTGGGACCTCAGCTGGCACCACCTCGTGCCCTCCCCACTCTGTGCTGGGGATTTTGGGAGGCAGGATGGGACCTGCACAAGGTGGAGGAGCGATGCTGAGACAAACCCCCGCACCCTTGAGCACATCCCTGCATGCCTCTGCTTCACGAAACCCTGGGAAGCCTGTTCCTGCCCCTCCTGCCTGCCCCTGCCCTTCTCCCTGCCCCATCCCAGCCCGCAGGCAGCATCCCGGCAGTTCTTCCAGCCCAGCTGGCAAAGACAGTTCCTTTCTTTACCAAAGTTTCAAGCTTTTTGTTCTCCTCCGTTTTTTATATATTTATTTTTCCTTGTTTTTAAAACCGAAAGCCCAGTGTTCCTTTGGAGCAGGGCAGCCAGAGTTCTCTCTGGTAAAAGCCAAACCCTGCCCCAACTCACACGGAAATTGCTACGGAATAATAATAAGGGCTGAGAAAGTCCCGCCGCGTTCCCCTTCACTGAGCTTTGTTTGCTCTGATTTATTGCCACCTAACACTGAAGCTTCGGGGCTCTCCCTTCCTGGGCAGGCGGGCTTGGCACGAGCCCCGTTTCCAGAGCAGGGAATGCTGGTGGCCCCACACCCTTTCTGGGATGCAGTATGCGTCTCCAGGGCAAAGTGCCCCCGGGCATTTTGTAGGCAGTGGGGACGTGTCTGAGCAGGCAAAAGTTGGAGGTGTTTCCCTAAACCCTGCTGGGCCACTTGTGGAGCGAGCGTGCCCGTGCCCGGTCTCAGAGGTGCTTAGTCAGGCTGGCAACCACCACAGCGATGCTGGTGGCCACAGCAGGGATGAGTTCGGGGGTAAAGGGAGGAATTAGTTTCGAAAGGAGCCGCTTGGGCTGGGCCCTTCTGGGAACTGCGACTGCCTTCCTGTAAATGCCCCAGCGAGGAAGGGACGGCTGAACTTCCCTGGGCAGGGACCCAGCTCGGCACAGCCACGGGGCCCCACGAGCAGGGAAATGCCGGTTGCTCAAGCCTGGGCATTGGGTGCTGCCTGTGTGGCAGCCCGACGGGCACGGGCAGGCTCAGGGAGCTGGATGCAGGTTGTGGGGCTGCCAGACCCCCTCTGCTCCTCAGCACGAACCTGGTGGTGGCCGGGCAGATCCTGCTCTTGAGTAGCTCCAAGCCATGCCCGTGGGATGCTGGCAGGATGCGGGTGCTGGGGCACACCCCGGCATAACCACATCACTCTGGAAGAGGTTCCCGGTGCGACAGCCAGGAGCAGCCCAGCAGGGCGCCTTCCCTGCCTGCAGGAGCAGGATTGTGCTGACTTGGCAGCGGCAGCAGCATGAAAGTTGCTCAGGACAGGAATTGGTTGGCTCCGCCGTCTGCCTCCCCCGGCCAAGGGTCAGCTGGCATCGCCTCCTCCTGGGGCCCTGGGATTCACAGCCTGGCCCTGGGGCCACGGAGCCCCTTCCTGCTTGGAATCTCCATCCCTCCACCTGAGCTACAGGCCTCTTCCACCATCTCCTGCTGTTGTCTCAGATCCTTGATACCCTTGTCTGGAGGGTGAGGGGCAACAAATCCCCACGTAGGTGTTTCGTGCTGGCAGAAAACACGGGCAGCGTAATCGGGACAAATGCACCATAAGCATTAATTAGACTTGGGGCTGGGCTGGGCTCTGGGGGACAGTTCCAAACCCCCCAGCCCTGCAACCATGTCACGCCCAGCAGTGCCACAGGGCACTTGAGGCTGAGGTGGTGGGTGGCTCTCTGCAGAGGCCTGAGATGTGCTGGGTCGTGCCCGAGCAAGGCATTGAGCTGTGCCTTCACCACAGCTGGGCGCCTGCGCCTGAGTTCCAGCCCCCTGGCATTCCAGGGTGCTTGCAGAGCGTGGGGCAGGCTGCTGCAGGGTTGTCAGCATGGAGAAAAGGTAAGCTCTCATGGGTGTCATGGCATCCTCCCATTGCCCAGCCACCATCGGGTGCACTGGCTGGTGCTCAGGCAGGGTGTCCTCCCTGGCTGGGAGCTGCAGCCTGGATGTGGCCATGCTGCTGTGACTTTTCCTCCTGCTCCCAGCCCTCCCTTTGCTCCCTGCAGCCTCAGGAGGGCTCTTGGTTCAACTGATCCTTCCTGATGGCTGCAACAGGGGCTGAGGGCATCCTGAACCCCTTTTCCTTTGCTTTGTCAGCACTATGGCTCAGTCCAAGGGCACGGTGGTCCTCGCCTACAGCGGGGGCCTCGACACCTCCTGCATCCTGGTGTGGCTGAAGGAGCAAGGTTACGATGTTATCGCCTACCTGGTGAGCTCTGTTCCAAACCCCATCACAGGAACCCTGTCCCTGGGGGCTGGGGGTGGAGGGAGTGCTGAGCTGCAATCTGGGGACCCGGGTGGGTGACAGGGCTCTTGGTGTATGTGTGGCCATAGTGGTGGTCCTGGTCTCACTGGTTAACCATTGTCCAGCCTGGATGTTAATCTGTTGAGTTGATTGTGTGGCACAGCCTGTTTCTGCCAGATAATGACCCTCTGCTAATGAGGGCAGTAGATTAGGGCTTGGCAGAGGGGTGCATGGACATCTCAGGGGGGAACCCCCCTCCTGCCCACCCTGGGTGGCCTCAAGCCCAGCCAGCACGGGCTCTGTTATGCCATGCGTGATGCCCTGTGCCAGACTGGGCTTGCACTCGGGTTTTGTGGTCTCCTTTCACATTCAATCTTGGTACTTTTTCCTCCTTTCCAGGCCAACATTGGGCAGAAGGAAGATTTTGAAGCAGCACGAAAGAAAGCGCTGGCACTGGGGGCCAAGAAGGTAACGGTGTCCCTCCCTCTGGGGGCTCTGAGCTCCCCCTGCTCCCTGGTGTGGGGCTGTTGGGGTCTCACATATCCCATTGCTGGGAGGAGGGACAGCACCAGTGAGAAATCCCTTTTCCAGAGCTTTTGCACCAAAGCCCTTTAGCAGCATCTAGGAAAGGGTACACAAAGGGACCTTTCATTGCACTGTCCCCAAATCCCTAAGAGGAGCGGGTTCTCCCCTTAGCCGCCCTCCCACCAGGACGCTCCCTCTGTGCCTGCAGGTGTACATCGAGGATATCAGCAGGGAGTTTGTGGAGGAGTTCATCTGGCCGGCAGTGCAGGCCAACGCGCTCTACGAGGACCGGTACCTGCTGGGCACGGCGCTGGCCCGGCCCTGCATCGCCCGCAGGCAGGTGGAGATCGCCCAGAGAGAGGGAGCCCAGCACGTCGCCCACGGGGCCACGGGCAAGGTGAGGGAGGACAGGGGCACAGGGCAGGGATTGGTCCCTTGGCCAAGCTCTCTGGGTGCACGGCGTGTTTTGTAGGTGCTCTGCAGGGCCGTGCAAAACTCAGCCGTGTTTCAACACTTCCTTCTCGCTTCTGGGATTTCTGTGCCCGATTTCAGTTCCCTCTCCCTATCAGGAAGGCTGGGGTCAGAGCCGAACGCCCTGTTTTCGGCAGCAGCTTGAAAATGCTGCTACAGACTGGGGCTGTCCAGGCCAGGAGCCAGCTGGGACTGAGCCAGCACCCTCCATGGTGTTTAGGGGCATCCTGGGATACATGTGACTGTCCCAGTCCCTGTCCCGGTCCCTGTTCACATTCCTGTCCTCAGCTCTGGCTGTCCCGGTCCCTGTCTCCATCCCAATTTGTCCTGGTCTCTGTCCCCATCCTTGTCCCCATCCTTGGCTCTCCCGGTCCCTGTCCCTATTCCTGTCTTTATCCCGGTTGTCTCGGTCCCTGTCCCCATCCCCGCTGTCTCCGCCGACGCAGGGACGACACTTTGCCGCTAGAGGCAGCCAGAGACCGTAGAAAGGAGATGCTCGGGGCCAGTCCCTGCCCCGGAGAGGGGGAATCCCCCGCGGGGAGCGTGGCGGGGGCGTGGAACCTGCGAGCCGTGACCGTGGGCCATCCCACGTGGGCACCTCCAGCCGCTGCCCACACGCTGCCCAGCCCGGGCGGGGACACCAGGCGCAGGTGAGGGCTCAGTGGGTGAACCCAGGTCCTGCCCAGTACCTCCTCCTCCCTTCCCACGGGGACCCAAAGCGCAGCCCGTGCCCATCGTGGCCTAGGGGCAAGGCGACGTGACCCCCTCGAGGGGTCACAGTGAGTTTGGGGCGGCTGGGTTTGGGGGTCCCCAGCTATGGCAGAGGACCTTGCTTAGGAGGGGGATGTTAGGTGCAGCCGGGAGGCTGTCGAGGTTCGTGCCAGCACCCAGGAGATGGGGCAGAGGGGCAGCTCGGGGGGCTTTATGACCGAAATAATTCTCTCTCCTCCTGCGGTGGGGTCCCTGCACCCCTTTCCCGTCCATCTCACCCATCCCCAGCAGCCCCCTCTCGGAAGCCCCCACTAAACGGTGCCGTGGAGTCGCACACCCACAACGAGATGACGTCCCCTCTGCTCCCGGGTGCCACCAGCCGTCCCCGCTGGCTGGGACACCTTCGGTGGCTCCTGCTTCCCAAGCCATTAAGCTGCGGGCACGGGCAGGGACCGACCGTGGGTAACTCGACCCGGCTGCGGCGTCTTAAATGGGACCATCTGGGGTGTCCCCGCTGCCGGAGCAGATGGACGTGTTTTGGGCCTGTAAGGGAAATGAGTACTTTGGTGGACGTACTCGCCTGAGTGTAATAGTCCTTAGGGAATTCCCAGGCCGGTTGTAAATGTATCCTTCAGGCCAGGGCCGATAGGAGGGAAGGGGGGTTCTGTTTGCTCCTTGGTGCAGGTGGAAAATAGGCTTTGGCGAGTGCTATGCCCTTGGAGGTGCTAATAACTCCCAGCCTCTCTCCTCACCCCTTCCCGGTTACCTGGGCTCGTTAGTGGTACCTCATCAGCAAGGGCCAATTATGGTAAAGGGAGGTTCAGAGCTAATTAATTATGAGCTACTGAATCCTCCTGCTCACCACCGTCTTTCCTCCCACCTTGCCCTCTCTCTCCATGTGTCCTCCTTTGATGCCTTTGGGGGAAAAATACCTGAATCTGGCTTTCTGTTGGTTCAGCTTTCAGGAGTGTCAGCCCAGGGCAGAGCACGGCTTGGGTGAGTCTGTGGTCAGCCTGTCTCCCTTGGAGCCTGGTGAATGAGCTGCACAGGGATTTTGAATGCCCAGCTAGCAGGAGCTCCAGGAAAGGTGGTTTGGGGTTAAAACAAGCCATGGAGAGGGACCAGGAGAGACCCCATGGGACAGAGGATCCTTGCCCACTGTGCCTGGGGTCTTCAGTGTCGCAAGGGGAGCTGTGACTGAAGCCAAGCAGCACCTCAGAGGCTGCATGTGTGTGTTGTTACACACATGTGCACCACCACACGTGTGCACTGCCACACATGTGCTTGCCCAGCAGCTCCTGAGCCTCTCAGTTCCCTGGATGAAGCCCTGGGGCTGTAGCAGAGCCGACTTGTCATCTGCACTTTTAATGTTCCTGCCTATTTTTTTTTTTTTTAAGATTTCCTGCTAATTTTGCTGTTTCTTTCACCAAATCCAAACCTGTGTCCCTGTCAGGCAACATTCCTCTCCCGAGAATGCTGTATGGCCCTGTGTGAGCTGGTCCAGGAATGAGATCTTGTCCCCCCTCACTGGGATCAGGGTGGGGGGCACCCACTTCCCAGCCCGCCCTAGTGAGGGGTGACTCCTCAGCATCTCCCATTCACTTTTCAGGGCAATGACCAGGTTCGGTTTGAGCTCACCTGCTATGCTCTGTGTCCCAAAATCAAGGTAAGGCACCGAAAATCATCCTACCACCGGGCTCCTGGCCTCTCCCCAGCTGGTGGGGAATTCTGTTTTAACACCGAGGCAAGGGGCCATGCCTCACTTTAACAAGCTACCAGCTGCACAAAGCTACATTTTGGTATTTGAGGGGGCTGTAATGATCCTTAATTGACCTATTTTTACCCCAAACACCATGAGGCCACAGAGGAAACAGTATCAAGGCAGCTGCTGGATAATCGATGCTGCCTGTTTCCCCCCTGCATCCAGTGCCTGGTTAGGGCCAGGGGTCTGGGTTACTCCACCCTTGTGCTGGGAGATTAAATTTCATCTGGGGGACCAACACCCTGTGGGTCCTGTCTCCGAGGGGCAAAGGGGGCCCAGGGGCTACAAGAGGGCTGGGGGCTTCTCACCTCATGCTCCTGCCCTCCCACCAGGTTGTTGCACCGTGGAGGCTGCCCGAGTTCTACCAGCGCTTCCCTGGGCGCCGGGAGCTGATGGATTATGCCAAGGTAGGAGCTGGTGTGGTGTGGCCATGGGGTGCTTGGGGAGGCCACAAGATGCTCAGGGTGGCTGTGGAAAGCTCAGGGTAGCTGTGGGATGCTCAGTGTGGCCCCAGGAAGCTTGGGATGGCCACGGGATGCTCATCATGGCTTGGCAGGTGACAGCAGCAAGCCCTGCACAACATCCCTCCAGCACCACACTGGAGCCTTCTGGGTGGGGTTTTTCCCCCCCCAGCCTCTATTTTTTTTTTCATCCTCCCTTTTTAAAAGCCCCATAATTACCTGGCTATTAATGGTAACCTGCTTTCCAAGGAAACGGGTCCCAGTTCCCTGACTTGAGCGGCAGACAAAGCAAACACATTCACCTTTGTTGTCCCTTCCTTTTTGAAGTACAAGTTACAATAAAACATATTAGAAGTTTTGCATCAGGTTTTTATGTGCCCACCAGGGTACCTTTCTTTTTTAAGCGACTTCACGGAAATGCTTGACAACTCGGCTCAATCAATCAAAAGGGAAAAGGCAGCTCTGTGCATAAACCAGAAAATTGCTTCAGTTTTTAAATAGCTGCCGTGGAAGCTGCCTGGGTAATCTCTGGGAAGGCGAGGTGTGGAGCTGGAGGGATGTGGCCGTGGGGTGAGGAGCCCTCTGAGCCCATTAGGGCCGCCAGGAGAGGGTGGCGTGTTGAGGATTGTGTTTGCCATCTGCCGCTGTATTATGAAGGGGCGAGTTTACGAGAGCTTTCCATATGTTGCCAAACAAATTGTCAAGTAGGGGAGTTATTAAGAGCGCCGCGGTTTTATTATATGGAAAATGGAACACGTGTTTTGGGTTTGGGGGGTTTTGTTTTGGTTGTGGGGGGGTTTTTTTTGTTTGTTTGGAAGGGGGAGGGTGAAAGGGAAACGAAATGGATTGGGGCCCAGTTCCAAGAGGAAAGGTCATGGGGTGAGGGTTCCTAGTACTTCTCAGTCTCTGGTTATGTTTAGTTTAAACAAAAAAAGGGGGATTTCTCTTCTTTTTCATGCTCAGGAGAGGGAGACGTGTGGCCAGGTCCTTTGAGCACCTGGATGTGCTTACCTTGGTGCTTGAGGAATGATATTTGGGGCTCCATTAGTACCGGGGAAAGGGAGGATCTGTGTCACTGCAGCACAGCTCTTGCCATGGATTTGCTGCCCAGGGGCTAGAGCCAGCTTTGCTCTGGCAGCAACCTGTGCCAGCAGCTGCTTCATCCCCACAACCAGCTGAGGCTGAAATAACTTAATGAGAAGGGGGAAGCTCTCGTGGGTGCTGCTCCAGGATGAGCCATGGTCACAGGCAGAGCCAGGTGGGACAGAGCCTGAGAACAAGATTCTTTGGTTGTGGCACCTTTGGCTTCAGCCAAGGCTGCCTGGGCTCAGTAAATGTTGGTACGTGGGTCTGGACTTGGAGGATCCTCTTTGAAATGGAGTGAGGATGGGCTGGGGAGCATGGGCTGCCAGGAGGAGGCAGAGGGCAGAGAGGGCTGGCTGAGAAAATAAATCAGCTGGGGCTGGTGGCTCATTATTCAGGTCGGAAAGATACATTTGTATATCTCAAGTGAGATAAGTGTGCCAATGGTCTGTCTCCTCTTCCAAATAACAAGTGATAGGACAAGAAGAAATGGCCTCATGTTGTGCCAGGGAGGGTTTAGATCGGATCTGGACATTAGGGAGTCCCGGGGGGTCCCACACTGGAATTGTGGTGTGGGACCACCAAATCAAGACGTGAGGCAACGTCCCCCCAGGACCAGAGCCAAGTTGGCCCCTCTGCAGCCTTAGGAGGTATTTCAGAACCTTGTTCCCATCTCGGGTGATGGATTGAGGACTATGATGAAACAACCACAAGCATTTCCTTCCCCTCTTCCCGGCAAACAAGGAGCCTCTGCTCAGCCCCTGCTCCTCCGTCCCTGGCCAAGCCCTTGGCTGATGTCCCTGCTGTGATGACACTGACGTGCCAGAACACAGACACATCAGGGCACAGTGGGAGCCCAGAGCTGCCATCTCCACCCCTGTCTCCCTGTGGCCATCCCACAGCCGGCACATCCCATCTCCTCATGCCAGCAGGGTGGGACACGTCCCCGCTGGCTCCAGTTGTCAGCCTGCTGCCGTCACCTCTCCTGCTAATTCCCCTGCGTATTCACCTCGTCTTCACAGGCAATTTCCCCCATTGAAATGTCAGTGGATAATTGAGCACACCAGTGACCTTGTTAGGGAGCCGGGCTCGGAGCAGCGCGTTGTGCCGGGGAGGCAGCCGGTGTGGGGCCGCCTGTCCCCTGGCATGGTGGGCTCGAGGTGCCCAGGCTCGGGGGGGACACCTCCACACCTGCTTTGCCACGTGTTTGTGTTGCTGTCCCCTCATGGCAGAGCATCAGTCCTCCAGAGCATCCTGTGGATTTGGGGATTTGTGTCCTCGTCGCCTCCCCTTGCTAAGCAGCCCAGCTGGGAGAATCATGGAACATCCTGAGTTGAAAGGGACCCACAGGGATCATGGAATCCAACTCATGGCCTTCACAGGACAACCCGTTGTCCCACCATGTGCCTGAGAATGTTGCACCATCTTGGACCTGGACCTAGGAAAAACACAATGTCCATGCTGGTGTCCCCATTGCTGGGGTTCATGGGGTGCTCTGGGGTCCCTTCTCAGCCTGTGGCAGGTCTGGGGCAGCCCTTGTCCTCCCATCCACACTGTGTCCCTGATGTCCTCATCGAGGTGGCCCTTGTGGTGGGAGCCGATGCTGCCTGGGGTTAGGACACGGGTGTGCAGCTTGCTCTGTGCTGCCTTGTTGGTGATGATGGGTTGTGCCTTTGAGCTTTTGGGGCTGATCCTGGTGGGAAATGGTGCCAGTGGGGGCTGGCATTCCCTACAGGCTGTCTTACCCCCACTCTCATTCTCTTGGCAGAAACACGGGATCCCGGTGCCTGTGACACCCCAGACACCCTGGAGCATGGATGAGAACCTCATGCACATCAGGTGAGAGGCCGGGAAGGTGGGGAGCTTCTGTGGGGTGATGACACAGGGTCTGGGGCCCCTATCCCCTCCATCCTTCGTGGCCCTTCACACCTCCATCATCCCAGACCTGTTCACCATGGGTGACCCCCAAACCTCCAGCCTCGCTTTCTGCCCAGTTGTCCATGTCCCATGTGGCAGCATCCATCTCCTGGGCTCTCCCAAGCCTGGTTCTCCTTGCAGGGTTACTGCTAAAATGCCCTGGAGATCCATAACATGTATTTACTTCCATCCATGGGGTGGTGGGAGTGGGGCTGTCGTCCCGGTGGGGTTTGGGGTTGCAGTTTGCAGGTGCTACAGTGACTTCTCCCTCCTTCCCTGCCTGCTGCAGCTACGAAGCCGGGATCCTGGAGAACCCCAAGGTAATCGATCACGGCCACCCGGCCAGCGTGGCAGCCACGGGGCCGGGGGCGTCTCGTGTGTTTGCAGCCTAATTGGAAATTTCACGGCGGGGCCGTCCGTGTGTGCGGGGAGGCTCCGCCGCCCGCCCCGGCCCCTCCGCCTCCCCCGGCACGTTAATTGCCGCCGGCATGAATAGGGGAAGGGACCGTTTCAGGGTGACACTGGAGGGGACAATGTCGCGGGGCGGCAATAAAGGAGCAATTAGACAGATGAGGTGCTGGTGGGAGAGTCGGAGCTGGTGACGGAGGTTCGGGCTGGCCCCTGCAGCTCGCCCAGCCCTCCTCGCTTTCCCATCCCCTCTCTCTGTGGGGTAAAACCTGCCCTTGGATGGGTGAGGTGTTGGAAACAGTGAGGGCATCCATGGGGCCACCAGTTCTGACTCCCAACGTGGCCACGAGCCCGGCGGTGGTGCTGGGAACTGCTGCCAGGTGCTGCTGGGAGCGCAGCAACACCTCCGGCCGCTCCGAGCAGTGCTCGTGGTCCGGCCGCCCGCTGGCCCTGCCGGCGCTGTTCATGCTCCAGCGGGTCACCGCGCTCGGCGGCTACTTAAACTATCCATCAGCGCTAATTAGACAACCCGGGGAGAAGGAGGGGGAGGCAGGAGGAGAGGGAGAGGAGCCGCCGGAGCTCGGCGCCCGCAGCCGGCTCCCCGCAGCTGGGCTGACGCGTGCCTCCGGCGGGGGAAGGAAGGGGAAGGTGGAGAGGGGGTCCCGCTCCCCCTTTGGTGCCTTCCAGAGGGGTGTCTGTGAGTCAGGCTTTGCAAAACCGGGTTCCCGTGGAGCCTCCTCTCCTCCAGGGGAGCGCTTGGCACCGGGATGGGTGTTCGTGCCTCTAGCTGGAGCTGGCAAGGCACTGACCCGCGCCCCTCCTGACCCATCCCTCCGCACCCAGCACCTCTCCTCTTCTCTAGCGGAAGACCCTCAGTCCCCAGGCTCTGCCAAGCCCGCTTCCTTCCCACAGCCAGCTTGGAAAAACGGGGCTGACCAGTGCCCTGACCCCGTCCCCGAGCATCCTCCACTTGGGCGTCTCACCCTCCGACAGCGCTGGGAGGTGACTTCCCTGAGCGCGGTGTCACCAGTGTCCCCTCCCCGGCCCGGGAAGCAGTGCCGGGCACCTGGTGGCTGTGGCAGGATCCGAGGTGCCAGGCACGGCGGGCTCCCCTCCCCAAACCCCCGGGACCTGCCAAACGCAGGGATTTGAAAGCAGATGGTTGAGCTATTTTCTGCCTCTGTGAGGCCCGATTGAAGGGCAATGAGGCAGCTAATGCGGAGAAAGATAGAAATTTACTTGCTTTAACTTCATATGGCACTCTGAAAGAGTTCATTCAGTCCCGGGCACAACAATATCAGCCGGATGAATAAACCATTTGCGGCATCGATAGCTCTGCATCATGGTTTACTTCATGGACCATTTGCTTCCAATTTCTTCTCTTCTTGCCCCGTTTTTCTTGCTTCTTTCTTCCCCCCTCCCTCTCTCCCTTTCCACACACTCTTCCTTTTTTTTTTTTCCTTTTTTCCCCCCCTTTTTATTTTTTTTCTCTCCCCTTTAAAGATGACATTGCAGGACTAGCCCCCCTGCGGGGAGGGATAAATAGAAGGCATTGATACACTGCAACAAACTATTTGTCATTTGAACTGTGCTTTTAGGAGAGAGAATAAAAAGAGGACAGACTCACACCGTAATGATGGAATGCAAGCCAAATGTCACTTTTATTTCTATTTAGTTATTTTATTTAATAGGGGTTTTCATAGTTGGCTCGGAAAATTGGAAACTACCTGACTTTGACTTCCAATGTTTAGTAAAGAGTTTTTAATACTTTCCGGTATTTCTTCTCCCCCTTCCTCCATCTTTTCCTTTTGAACTCAAAGTTTTTCATCATCTCTCGCAGGTTCATCTAGTTAATAAGTGTGATCAGGGCTAGGAAAGGCCAGACGATGTAAAATTGAAATCCACAGCCCGTGTAATCTGTGTGCAGGGGCACAGGGAGATGCGCCTGCCTGCCAGCGCCTCTCCCTTAAAACAAGGGAAAGGGGCAAAAATGGCATAAAATGGGAACTGAGGGGAGTTTTGCTGCAGCGTATGCTTGGGTAGTTATGTCTGTATTCCTGGGATTCGGCTGTGGATGCTGTTGGGATGTGCACCCCAGGGCTTGGGGTGAGGCAAGGGGAGTACCCCTGGTGAAAAGGGGATGTTTGCAGTTCGGGTAGGCTTCCCTCAGGTGCTGGCAGTGCTCCAGCAAATATAAATATGTTTGGAGAAAAATAAATGGAAGTTTTCACTAAAATTCTTACTGCCCGTCTTTGAAAGTTTTAGATGAAAACTTCTGTAGAGAAATTAATTTTCCTTCTAAAAAGCTTTTTTTTTTGTTTTTTTTTTTTTTTTAAAGCAACCACTTGGTTGGATTTTGGGGGGTTCTTTTCCCTGACTTGCTTTATACCTTGTCTTTTTTTACCTTGCTGGAAAGGAAGAGAAGGGAGAAAAAGGGATCTTGAAAGGTCCTTTCTATCCCAAAGTATTCTATGAAGTGAAGCAGGAGAAGAGCCGTACTTTAAAAACGAGAGGAGGAAGAGAGGGCATGTGAGCCAAGCAGTGGGTGGGTGGATGCAGACAGGGCCCCATTGCCCAGGGATTCCCAGAGCTCCAGCTCTCGCCAGCTGGGTCTAGTGGGCAAATACCAGTTTGCCACCTTTTAAAATGCTTCCTGCCTTTCCAGCACGCTGCACATGCCCTGGGTGCTCTTTGCCTCAGTTTCCCCTCCACCTCCCCGAGCTGTGGCTGGGTGGGGAGTCCCTTTGAAGACAGGAGTTTGCAAACGCCGATCTGAAAGTATTTTGGGGTCAGCAAGTGCAGTCACATCATGGGCGAGTGCCGAGGGGGGGCACGTGAAATTGCAAAGCATTTGCTCTCTGGGACGGAGAGCTCTTTTTTATTGTATTTCTCCCCCCCCTTTCTTCTGGCACGCACTTCAATTGCGGCAATTCACCGTCGGCGCCCGAGCCTCCGCTGGCCTGGCTCTGATGGAGATAAGATGCCTCTTTCCTATAAATCTCACAAAAAACAATATACATAAAGGTTGATGTGCTCTGAAATGGGTTTTTGCTTCGCCGCTCTATTTTCCCCCGTGTGTATTAACCCCGGGAGCAGCATGAAAGAGCCGGTGGCGCCTGGAGCACCTGCTGGGGTCAGGGCTCCTCATTAGTTTTTTCGGTCCCCGGCCGAGGTGCGGGGACACGCGGGCACCCGCCCGCCCCGCCGCTCGCTGCCAGCGTCCCGCTTTTCCCTGCCTGACTTGCTTCTCCGCAGCCATCCCGCCTCCAGCTGTGGGGGCGTTGGAGGAAAAGATGAGATCAAGTTGAGGGGAAAAATTGGCTGATTCTTCCAACCCCTTTGTTCCCCGGGGCCCCGGTAAGCGCCGGTGATGTGCCGCCCTGGTCCTGCGCTTTGGGATGGTGGGGTACGCTTTTGGGATGGGGGATGCACCCCGGGGAGGGGGGATTCACTGTGGGACGTGGGATGCACCGGGGGGATGGTGGGATGCAGTCTGGGGCTGGGAATGCCAGCAGTGTAGGCCATGGCAATGCCACTGACTCTCCCACTTCTCTCCCTCTCCTCACAGAATCAGGCTCCCCCCGGGCTCTACACGAAGACCCGTGATCCGGCCACCTCTCCTGACAACCCAGATGTGCTGGAGATCAAGTTTGAGCGGGGTAAGAGCCTCCTTGCTGCCAGAGCCTTGTGCCTTGGTCCCCCAAAGACAAACCCAACTTCCCAGCCAGGACCAGGGTTCCCTGGCAGCTAGAAGCATCTCCAGAGTGGGGGCACATGGCTGAACTCATGGCATCAGGGATGAGGATGGTGCTTGCAGCACACTGGGGCTCTGTGCAGAGGATCTGGTTAGATCCCAGGGTTGCTGGCACCCCTCTGAGTCCCCTCTACAGCCATCGAGGTGTAGTGGGCACAGGGTCTCTCTCCTGCAGGTTGGCCCACAGGTGGTCCTGGGAACACACAGGTGACCCTGTTCAGTGTCACAGTCGAGGAGATGCTCCAACAGGATTGGCCTTTGGTACTATCAATGTTAAACGAAGGAGACAGGGACACCCCATCACATTCCTGGGATGAATGGCAGGGCCCAGCCCCGGAGCCTTCACCAGAGAGGGGACACTGGGCAGCATCTCCCACTTACAGCAGCCACGGCCATCCCCGTGCCACCATCCATTCTGGCAGCAGCAGCGAGCCCAGCCCAGGCTGGGGGGGAAGCCCCGCTGGGAGGGGGCACCCCCTCCCCGCCGCCAGCATCCCTGCTCCATTATAACGATCCCCCTGCAAGGAGCAGCCCCCCCTCCTCCTTCCAGCAGCCCATTCAGCCCCTAGTTAATTTATTTGAAGTTTTAATCTAATTATTAACTATTTCAAAGGCTAAGCAGCTTTCACCAACAACGGCCCCGACAACGTCGGCTCTTCGCCGGGCGGACCCGGGCCAATACCCCGGCGGAGGATGCGAAGAGAAAGAGCCGGGGCGAGGGGAGGGCGCGGGGTGGGGGGGCCCGCGCCGAGAAGCAGCTTAAGGTTCATTATTGCCGCGAGTTACATTTAATAGCAATTTACAACTGAGTTTATAAACCCCTGGAAAATAGGGGGTTTAGAGGGAGGGGGGCAGTGGTGGGGAGCTGACAGCCCCCGTCACTAGACCGGGCTCTTGCGGGCGCCTATATAATAAAGACTAGAAAGGGAGGCATTGAGGCTGATTGGCAACTGATAGTGCGTTAAATGGTAATGAGGAGGGCAGATGGAGGGGGGATTAGCCTCCAACTCCGCACCGCTTTTCTTTGTGGGCCCCGCAGCCCCCTTGTCAGCTTCCTAATACATTTATTGCTCATTTCACACCGCTAAAGAAAAATGCCTCTTTCTATTCAGCATTTCCCCCCCTCCCCTCTCTCCTGGCTTTGCCCCTGCCCGGCGCCCTTAAAAAAAAAATTAAGGGGGGAAAAAAAAAAAGAGGGGGGGGAAGAAAAGGTGCAATAATTAATTCATGGCGGGGAGCACCCCGCCGCGGGGTGCGTGTGCGTGCGTGTGCGAGCAGCCGTGCCCCGGTGTGGGGCTCCCCCCCCAGACGCCCCCCGTGCTGGCGAGGGAGGGGGGGGGCACGCATTTGTCACCGTGTCCCCCCTCCCCGGCAGGGGCTGGTGGGACAGAAGGTGCTGCGCTGTAAGACAATTGCGGAGCGTGAAATTCAATTAGTTAAGGGCCTGGTTGCAATTTCACAGGCCCTAAAAAAGAGAGAGGGAAAAGAGAGGGGAAAAGGGAGGGGTGACGTTTTTATGGCCTTTTTTTATTTATTTATTTCGCCTCTCTCCCGAGGTGGGTCCCCCCTCCCCTCGCCTCCCCCTCGCACCAGCTTGGATATGCCTTTTTAAGAAGTTATTTAGAGTTCATATCTGTCACATCTATTTAACGCCCGTGGGATGATGTTCCGGGGGGATCCTGACACCAGCTGATCCTGCCTGTCCTCGCTCCCCGCCTCCGCAGGTGTCCCAGTGAAGGTCACCAACATTGGGGATGGAGCCACTCGTTCCTCGGCCCTGGAGCTCTTCGTGTACCTGAACGACATCGCGTGAGTGCCACCCTGTCCCTTGGCAGCAGGGACAAGGGCAGACCCCCAGGGTACCCAGGGTGGGGTGGAAACAGGATGCTCACAGCAGGCACGTCCTGATGAGCCCAGGGACAGTGGTCAGCAGTGTGAGCATGGGATGGTACCAGCTGGGTCCTAGTTGTCCCTAAATGCCAGCAAGCAGAGCTGGGCACCAGGGCCAGGAACACAGGGGAATAAATGCCCCAGGGTGTTGCTTTCGGTGCATGAGGAGGATTAAAAAGTCCTCTGAACCCCCTCTGTGTTTTCCATGTGCCCCAGCTGCACACTGGGTGAGGGCTGCCCTGCCCACTATAGAGGCTGAGCCCCCGGGGCACCCCCTGCCTGCAGGGCACCCCTTTGCCAATGGTCCCAGCTCAGTCCCAGACCCCCAGCTCCCACATCTCACCTTCTCCCTGCCTGCCCAAGGGGGCTCAGTGTGCCTTTTGGGTGGAGAGTTGGCTTTTTGAGGGCATGGAGATGTGCTGTTTGGGTCCACAGCGCTGTCCTCTCCCTGCCTCCACAGCAGCAGCTCCTTTGGGGTTTCCTGCCCTGTGCCACCCCCTGCCCTGTTTCCGATGCCACTGGCACAGAACCATCCCTGGGGGTTTGCCCAAAAATACAGCAGCACCCATGAGGGCACCTGCTCTTCCTAAGTGCCATCTGGCCACCTCAATCCTCCTCCATGCCCCTGCCTTTATCCCCCTGGTGGTGAATGGGAATGAACTTTTCCATGTAGTTAATTTTTTAAATGTAATTAAGTGGTTTTAAAATTACTTTGGCTGTTGAGAATAGAGCTGTGGCATGTCCTGTCTCCTTGCCTGGTTTATTTTCCAGTGGCCCAAGTGCCACGGCTGCCTGTGGTGCTGCTGGCCCCAGGTCACTACCGATGGTCACCAGTGCTGCTCAGGAGCTGATCATGCTGCCATTTGGGGTTTGTCCCCCTCTGATCCACCTCTCACAGCTGCCTGTGTCCCACTGTGGGGATGGGGCTGCTGCAACTTCCCTTCTCCTCGCAGGGGCAAGCACGGGGTCGGGCGCATCGACATCGTGGAGAACCGCTTCGTTGGGATGAAGTCCAGAGGTGAGCCTGCGGGGCCATCCCTGCCCTAAAAACAGCAAAAAAAAGGAAAACCCTGGGGGGGCATGGCTCAGGTCACCCCAGCAGCCCTTGACCTTTCCCTCCCCATCAGCTTTTGATGGAGATTTCCCTGTGACAGAGACTTTTCGTTGCACTCTAATGATGGCAGCTGCCCGCTCGCTGCCGGTGCCGCTGTTTGTGCCAGCCCTGCGGTCCCAGTGCCACCAGGAGAGACCCATCTCCAGGGGGAAAAACACCAGGCTGTGGGTTTGGTGGGAGGATGCTCCTGAAGGGTGCCAGGCTCTGTAATACCGGTACAAAACACAGGAGGCTGATGTAAGTCACTGAGGGTTTTTTTAAATCCAGTTCTTTGATTTATCTACACATTTTGGAGGCCGTGACTCTTAGTATTGATCATCCATTGGGATCAATTCCATTGGAAACCTCTGGAGGCAGCAAGCTGCCCTGTGCAGAACTAAGTAACGAGGTGGCTCAGCTTCATTTCCCATCTCCTTGTCCCCAGTCTTTATTTTAAATCTTGTTAATACCTAATTAGATGCTCCCTTTCTTTAAACTTGCCCTCTGTGCAGGGCAAGAGCAAATATTTTGGTTAGACTCAGCCCAAGTTCTCCCTCCCCGCCACAGGGCCCTTCACAAGAGCATCCACCGCAAAAGGCAAGAAACAAAACCCCAAATCATTTGATCTGGGTTTGAATAATCAAATTAAAACCGAAAGAAGGAAGGAAAAGCCCTGGCCCGCGCACGCCAGCCGGCGCATTTGCATTCAGGATGCTGAGTAATTTGTCAAAATCTATTTTATTTTTTTTTTAAGAGCCACTGACACGCTCTAGTGACCCTTCCAGCATTTAATAATTTCTCTAAACCCCATTTAACTGTCACGTCTGTCTGCTGCATGACATTGCTGAGCGATCGCTGTGGTGTTTGTGCGCCGGCGGACGCGGCAGGACCGGGCGTTGTGGGGACAGCAGGGTGTGCACCGTGGGGATGAGACCTTGGGGTGGGCTTCCTGTGGGGACAAGACCTTGAGGGGGTCCCCCACTTGCTTTGAGCAGGATCCTGCCCCTGGTTTTGCTTCTTGGGATTAAGAAATACCCCTGAGAAATCTGAACCAACAGATGCCCTGTGGGAGAGATGGAGAGCTGGGACGTGAAGGGGCTGGAACAGGAGGGTGCTGTGGGTACCTGTCCCACCCTGGGGGGTTTTGGGGTGCAGGGCAGCTCGAGGTGACCCCACCTCCTCACTGCCAGGAGTATTTTGGACCCCAAATGGGCTTAGGGTCAGTGGTGCAGGAGATGGCAGCTGGGTTTGGAGGAGATGATCCCTCAAATCCCAGTGGTGTGAGGTGACCCCGCTTACTCAGGGTTCTGCAGGTTCCCTGGGGCAGCACGGGGACCCCGGCTCTGATGAGGAAACTGAGGCACAGTCAACAGCAGGAACTGATCCCTCCATGCTGTGCAGGTGGCAGTGAAGGTGCCTCCTCTCCCTCATCTCCCAGACCCGAGGAGTCGGAGAGGAGAAAAATTCATTTGCATTGATTTTTTTTACTAAGCTCCTAATTGAACTTCGTTAAGGCCTAATGGGCGAGGGGCACGTGGCACGCACCCGCACCAGCCTTTTAAGCCCTATTAACTCGGTTTTGCCATATTTGTTTTAGTGGGAGGAGGTGGCTAATTATGGGGTGCCAGGGTGTGGAGCTGCAGCCGGCTGGGGGGGGGCACAGCTCTGCCGGGGGCTCTGGGCTGCTGTGGGAGCACGGCCCTGCCTCTCCCGCCTTTTCACATCCTCATTATCAAATTATCTTTTTAACTCCGAAGGGGGGCTAATTAAGTGAAGTAAATGAAATCAGTGGGGAGGAAGTGGGAAGGAGGGGATGGTCGCTGCCAAAAGCTGAGTGCTGCCTTCGGCTGGGGCTTTTCCTCCCCTTGGCTCTCTCCTTCCTTTTCCCTTTCCTCCAGTTGATGCACTGAGCAGATGGAGCAGGAAAGTGGAAAACCCCTTCCCTGCAATGAACACTTATCAGGCCAAGCTTGGCCTCGGCCCTGGACCAGGGGTAGAAATTTGGGCAGCATTTTCCCAAGGGCAGCATTCTCCCTGGGGAAGTCACTGCATCCCCTCCTGTCCCATGAATGACGTCGGGAGTGACAGCCTGCACTCAGCACAGCAAAATTGCTTGGATGGAGGTGAAGTGACAGCCAAGGTTACAAATTAGAAAATTTTAAGCAGCAGCAGCTGTCTCCTTGGCTGCCCCCCTCCATGTCCCCCCCCCTTCCACAGCTCCAGTCCCCCCTTCCCCAGCAGTAATTATGGGGTGATTGAAGCATCACTGGGCTGCAGTGCTGACACCTCTGTCTTTTTCCTGTAAACACGGGGAGATGAAAACAGACACTTGGAGATGCTGCGAGTGTCACTTTGAAGGTGTCTCTTATCTCCTCGGCAGCGGCGAGGCTGGAGCGTGGCTGTCAGCTTGCCCTCCCCTCTGCCCTGGCTGACACGCTCTGGTCCCCCATCCTCTAGGACCCACAGATGGGCAGAATGTGGAGGTCAAGGCACATACACAAATCATCAGCTCAAATTGGCTTTAACACCTCCTAAGGGGAAAAGAGGGAGTATTAATTGTGTTAGTGGTGGGCTCCACTCCATGGTCAGGGGCTGGAGGGGACATAGAGCTCTGTGCTCCTGTGCCACCACCATAGGACAGCTGGGGTTTGGTGTTAACTTGGCTGTCTGCTCCCACAGCCCTGTCAGGACTAGGCTGCAACATCACTGGAGTGGCTGGAGAGGAGGGATTGGCTCTCCTTTGGGACAGTGGGATCACGTTCTGTGCCTGTAGGATGCTGGAGTCATGGACACTGTTTGGGATGGGGTTTGATGGAAATGGCTTGGGTTGCCATGCAGAGAGGGCTCCTATTGTGTCTGTGGGACTGTGGCCACTCTGAGATGGGTCATGTGCCTGTGCCACTCTCCAGGGCACTGAAAGAGCAGAGCCTGGTGAGGTTTTTTGCCATGGGGGTTCCCCTCACCCTCTCTCAGGGCTGGAGCTGGTTGAGGACACATCCCCTTCACTGGGGATGCTTTCTTACAGAGTTTCTTTGTGTGTCAGCAAAACCCTCTGCCATTCCCATTCCCATGCCATAGCAGCTGCCTGGTGTTGGGAAGGGACCATCCCCACAGGCAGACAGGAGGCAAGGACACACTTATGGAACAGCCCTGGCCATGGACAGGTTGCAGCCTTTCCCAACACGTGTTCCCTGCTGGACCAACTCAGTGTTTCCCCCACCACCTTTCCACCCACATCTGACCAGGACGGGAGCACTGTATGGCCGCACCCCTATTTAAACTCCAAGTAACCACATTATGCAGAAAACAAGCCCTGAACAGCTGGAACAAAGGAGCAGCTTTCTGAAACAATTAAGCATCCTCCATCCCCAGGCCTTGTGCATTGAGGGGAAAGGGGGGGGGGGGGAGCAGGAAGGGACTGGGGGGGCCCTGCCAGTCCCAGCGGAGGTTTCCCTCCCAGCCCCCAGGTAGCCTCATTGCTTCCCAGCGGACGTGTGGGGCTCTTTCTCACCAGCCGAGGGGAGAGGAGGGTACTTCAGGCCCCGCGCTCCCCGTGCCTGTGCCCCGCGTCGTTCCGCTAATTACAGGTTTTCAGCCGCAGACCGTTGGGCACGGATGGGTGGGGGGGATCGGTTCCCAAACCCTGTCATTTAGCCTCGTCAGAGTGCCTCTTCAAAGAGGGGAATCTAGAAATTTTCTCCGCAAGGTGCGGAGTGGACTGTCTCGGCCCCAGCATGAATATAATGACAGATGCATTTTACAGCGAGCTGAGGCTGAATGCGCTCGACCACGGCTCCTTCTGTCAGCCAAGTCATTATTTTTTGTCATTTGCTGACAGTTTGGGTCTCATTCGTTTCTCTCTCTTTTTCTGCTTTTCCCCCTGCCTGGAAAAATGGGTAGGTATCTATGAGACCCCAGCGGGAACGATCCTATACCACGCGCATTTAGATATCGAGGCCTTCACCATGGACCGGGAAGTGCGGAAAATCAAGCAGGGGCTCGCCTTGAAATTCTCCGAGCTGGTGTACAACGGTATGTATGGTCCTTCAGCCTGGACCTGCCACTGCAGCCTCCTCCCAGCCTTCCTCCTCCTCCTTTGGTGCTGCCGGAGGTTGCAGGTCCCACCAGTGCGTGCGCTCAGGGTTGTAAAATTCGGGTGTGGATTTTGAGGCTACTCACTGGGGGAAGAGATGGGTTTGGGCTGAGCTCAGTCTCACACTCTGCCTGCTTTCCTGCCGAGGGAGCTCCGTGCCTGCCTTTGGGAGGCAATGCTGTCTTCCATGAGGTGATGCTCCCGACATCTCTCCCAGCCCAGTGCCACCACTTCGTCCCAACAAACACATTTGAATGTCTCATGGGATGAAGTTCACCATCCCTTTGTCCCCCTTTCCCCCCCTTTCCCCAGCTCTCACCTCCAACCCGTTCCATCTCTGCCTGCTCTCACCCCAAAAGGACTCAAACACTCTGGGGTATGGGGCACCCAAGCTCCCAGCATGGCCATCCCTGCCATGGGATTTGAAGCCAGAGACTTCTTCCCGTGCCCTGGCAGGAGGGTGTGGCACAGGGGCCCCTCGAGGTGCTGGGGGCTGCAGGATGGAGGGTCCGGGCTGTGCTGTGTGATGCACAGCCCACACAGGGGCACTGCGGGTTGGGGCTGCAGGAGGGGCTCCCAGTCTGGACCAGGACGGCACTGCCTGGAGAGGGCTGGGAGCCTGAAGGGATGAGGGGACACTGGCTCACCCCAGCAGTGAGGGACAGAAATGAAGCCCCATGTCCTCCCTCCTGTGGAGCAGCTGCAGCTCCAGCTCGTGGGTTGAGTTTGAGGGGCCTCAGCTCAGCCCCCCTTGTGCTGCAGAGAACAGCTCGCTGGGCCGGGAGGCTGCCAGGGCTGGGAATGGCACCCTGGGAAGGGAATCATCACTGCCCTGGGGATTGATCTCTGGATTCACCCCAACCCAGACACTGGTGCTAAACTGAAGGAAGTGGGATTAGCCCAAAATGCCATAAGTGGACTCAAACCCCTACTGCCCACACCTGGGTGCTCAGCTCAGAACTGACATCCCTGGAGACCCCACAATGGAGAGATTCCTGCCCCCATCCAAACAACACTTTCATAGGTCCTGATTTCTTAGGCTCTCAGTTCCTCCTCCCATCGCTTCTCAGGTGTTTCTAACTGCAAGGGGCTGGGATGATTCCCATGGGATCTTTCATGGGAAGATCCCCTGTAAATAACCTGACTGGGAGCTTGGGCTTTGGGCAGCAGCAGATGCAGCCAGGACTGGGTCAGGCTGTTTCCCCTGCACTTTCTGGTGCCCGTGCTTGTCACCTTCCCCTCTAAGGACATTCCTTCCTGCATCTTCCTCAGCAACTGGCATTTAATATCTGAGCCCCTTTGCTCCTTAAATTATATTTTAGGGCCCCGCAGGGGCTGCAGAAGTCTTGGTTACCTTTCCCTTAGATCACAGCCTCATTTACACTCTGATGCCACTCCTGTCTCTGGCCATTTTTGTTAGACTTTGACCTGGGCTGCCTTTATTTTGACTATTTTTTTTTAAGTTCAGGCATAAACCTGTTTGTTTATTTCTAACCACTCAGTTGTGCAGCCACCAGGTTAAAGAGCCACTCAGGGGATCGTGGTTTTGCTTCTCCCTCCCTACCTCTGCCAGGCAAAGGCTGCTGTTTCCCTTGCTCCAAATGCTGAATCCTTAGGGATTTCCAGCACGGTCCTAGACTTCCCTGGCAGCCAATCCCAAATCCAAGGAACAACCCCAACAGCACCCCTGGATCCCCATGCCGGAGGCCAGGCTTTCGAGCTCACCTTCCTTTAACGCTTCATTATTGCAGCCAGTCCATGTTTTTAGGGGAATTAGTGTTTATCTTCCGCCTGTTCCCATTGATCCCATTGTGGAGGGGTGGCTTTGAAGATGGTTCCATCCCGGCAGGTACATCCAGGTGCGGAAATGCCATTGTCCCCCTGCCCACGTGGTGATTAGGGCAGGATGGTGGGAAGGTCATTAAGGGGGGATCGCTTCCAGTGTCTGCGGTGGGGGGGGTAAGGACAGGGGGGATGCTTCCTCCCACCTGGAGCTGTCAGAGTCAGGATTTAAGCAGCTGGTTATTATTTTAATGTGTCTGGGGTTTATTTTTACAGGGATGCAGCAGCCCTGCATCAATCCCGATATTAGAAGAGTTGTACCTGGAGGGGGGGTTACCAAAAACAGGGGTTTATTTGCCTGGAGCTGGAGTTCCTGCCGATGTGGCAGTGCCGGTTGCAGGGAAGGGGGTCCCCAAGCCCCTTGGCCGTGCTGTGGTGGGGCAGCTGAGGGCAATCTGTTCAGGGAGGTGGTTTCAGGGGTGAGGGGCTGCAGGGGTGCTGTGTCTTGGAGCGGGGCCACACAGACCCCAGGGAGGAGGCTGCAGGATATGGCCCCACTTGGGGGCTGGCGAGGCCAAACAACAAAAGAAATTGTTTGTTTCTTTAATGGCTTCGGCCCCGGAGCCCAGCTGGGAAGGGAAAGGTGAGAGGGCACCGGTGTTCGAGCAGGGAGTGAGATGGGAGAGATAAAACCTGGGGGTGACCGGAGGGCTGTGAATGGGCTCTTTCTCTCTCCACCTCTATCTCCTTCTACATCTCCCAGGCTTTGTTCCAGGTCTCCAAGGGCTTCCCGGCTAATTACCCCGCTTAGAGACAGAAGGGGCATGGGGGTTGGCAGGCAGGACCACAGCCCCTCCATGCACTGGCTGGCCATGCCAATGGCTGCGCCCACAGGATGTGTTTTGGGGGGCCGTGGTGCACTCGCTGTCTGGACTCAGAGGGCTTGGGGGAGTGTCAGAGGGCTGCTGTCTCCACCTGACCCTCCCAAGATGGTAGATTTCGAGTGATGGTTTCATACCTACTTAACAAATCTCTTAATTTCCGTGATCAACCCCTGATGGAAGGAGAATGGTCCCGTGGCCTCTTCTCCACCAGCCTCCTCTCCCAGTGGGATCCCAAGGGCTGCCAAAGGGAAGGGACACACATGAGGTTCTCTCTCTCAGAGCTGAACGTGGATGTCCCAGCTCAGCATTGCCCTCTCTCATCCCTTCCTGTGGAAATTACCCAGGGTCTGCCTCGCAGGACTTAGCCTGGGGACCACCGTGGGCACCGCAGGGCACTCCAGCCTGCCCCATTCCCACTCTGACCCTGCCTCCTGCCCGCAGGGTTCTGGCACAGCCCCGAGTGCGAGTTCCTCCGGCACTGCATCAGGCGCTCGCAGGAGCCCGTGGTGGGCACCGTCCGTCTGTCTGTCTTCAAGGGCCAGGTCTACATCTTGGGCAGGGAGTCCCCACGGTCGCTGTACAACGAGGAGCTGGTGAGGTGAGTGGGGCTTGGGGGGCCCAGGGTGGGCAGGGGTGGTGGCAGCGAGAATCCCGTCCCATCCTGTCGCATCCTGCCTTGTTGCATCCCATCCTGTCGCATCCCATCCCGTCACATCCCATCCCATTCCCAGTGGCACCATCCTCTGGGCCCAGCATCCAACCGAAGCACGAGCCATGTTTTTAAGTCAATATTAATTTTTTCCCCCTCTGGCTTTTCCCTTTTCTCCGTGTTGTTTTCTCTCTCGCTCGCTCGCTCCCCCCTCAGCCCTCCCTCAACCCCTTTCAATCTCTCTAAACACTTTATAAGCCATAAATACACCCGAATGAGTTTAGATCAGTCGGAGTAAATGTCAAATTATCTTCTCTCTTTCTCTTCTCCGGCTTTTTTTCCCCCCTTTCCCTCCCCCTCAAAATCAACAGCTCCTAATAATCCATCCCAACCCTTCATTATGCTTCGCACTCTCACTTGGAGAGATTAAATGAATAAAGTATTAAAAAAAAATATAAAAAAAAAAAAAGAGGGAAAAAAAAAGGGAGGATGGAGGGGGGTGGGACAGAGGAAAAAGAGAGAGGGAGAGAAAAGCAGGGGCACTTATTCTCCCTGTGTCTCCAACCATTTTCCTTTTCTTTTTGATTTCTACATCGCTGGTTTGAAAGCCTTTGAGTGACGGCGTCACAGGAACCCGAGAGAAAGCTGTGAGAGGCAGAGCTGTGTGGAAATGCCTCTGCACAGTAGGTAGAAAGTAACGTAATTATAGAGCAGGTCAGAACCACTCGAATGAGCAAAAATAAAAGCACAGAGGTTTTTCTGTAGCCCGTCAGGGGAGGTAAAATCGTTGTAAACTCTTTTTTTTTTTTTTCTTCTTTATTTCCCTCCACTTCCTTCTTTCAGGTTTGCAGTTTCTGGGAAATGAGCCGTGTGTTTTGGGGATGTAGGAGACCACTGGAGTTGGGATTCAGTGGGCGGCTGCTGCTCTGGGGAGGGAGATGTGCTTGGTGTTGCACCAAGGCACCGGCTGCCACAGCCATAAACCTCACTTTGGTGCTGGGGATGTCCCTGCCCGGGACCCTGTTCCATGCCCAGGGCAGTGCCTCCTGCCCAGGATTCCATTCCCTTTCCAGGGCAATGCCCTGCCTGCCACGGGACAGGCATACCTGGGGCACTGCTCTGGGACAGGGCGAGCATCCCTGCTTGGTGCCAGAGCACAAGGAGGAAGGGTGACGAGGTACATGAAGGACTGCATACAGAATTTGGGGCTGTGTCTCTAGTAGGGCCTGGGGAACCTGGGAATGGCCACCAGGGTGGCCCTATGGCTCTGCTGCTCCTGAGCCATGTGCCCCTTCCCCAGGGCTGGCTGGGACCCTGCCCCAAGCCCCCCACACCCACCTGCAGTGGATGAGGGGCAGCAGCAGCATCAGCCTGTGGGAGCAGCCAGCTCAGGGGTCACCCATAATTCTCCCTTCCCAAAGGGCAGCCCTGCTTCCCCTCAGGAATCCCATCCCACTGTGCCTTTCTCTCCACAGCATGAACGTGCAAGGGGACTACGAGCCCGCCGACGCCACCGGCTTCATCAACATCAACTCACTGAGGTCTGTGGGGCAGAGAGGGACCCTCCTCAATGTGTGTGTTGGGGAAGCCCCCAGCATCTTTCCCCTTCCCCATTCAGGCTCTGGGGGTGCACCAAGCCCCCTCCCGAGCTCCCCCTGAGCAGTGGGGTGCCACCAGCCTCCCCCAGCACCAGCCCTGCTTAATTACAGCCTTCCCCAGCACAGCCAGCCTCGCTATTTTACTTATTTCTCAGACACCCCCCCCAACTCTAGGGCTGTAAAACACGCTGCATTTACATAATGGGCTCTTAATTTTTCCATTCCCTGTTAACTGCTTTGTTCTCCCCCATCCTCGATGTCCCCCTACTCCTCTAAGATAAATTAATTACATTATCTCGTGGGGGGAAAAAAATAATTAAACTGTACAGGCCTTAACAAACGCCTGCTCTTCACGCCCCCTCATTCTGCTTAAATTAATTGAAAGGAAATGTGTGTTATTACTGTTAATTTACAATTAATTTTTTTTTTTTTTTAAATCCCGGTTTCCAGGCTGAAGGAATATCATCGTCTCCAGAGCAAGGTCACCGTAAAGCAGGATGAATAGCAATCAATCGCACGCGAGCCTTCCTCTCCCCTTTCTAATTTCTCTAAGAAGTAGCACTAATTGTGGTGGCAATTTGTAATTGTAACTCGTCTCTCCGGAGCGGAGCCGCGGCGGAGGTGACGGCTTTGTTATGGGGCGGCAAGTGAAATGCAGTCGGGAGGGGGGGGGAAAAAGGGTTTGGTCCATCGGAGGAGAAGTGGGGAAAGAAATAAACCCCCAGCCAGCCACGCGCGGGTCCGGCACTGAGAGCCGGGCTTTATTCCTGCCTCGTTTGTTTGCTCCTCTGGCCCGGCGCTTCCCCCGGCCCGGCTTTGTGAAGTTGGTAATGAATTAAGTGCCTGCGAAGGACGTGGGGGGGTTGGTGGTACCTTGTGGTGAAGGTGGGGAGAGGGGGACGTTGCCCCGCGCGATGCTGGGATGGAGGGGTGAGCTGGAGGACAGGGATGGATTAAGGGGATTTGACCCTTTTGGCTGTGAGTTCTAAGAGCAGATCTAGGAAAGGCAAAAATGGGGAAATATCCTTTGATGGTGTTGGCAAGAGGTGAGGAGGAAAGGAATGCTCGCTCCGGGCTGGGTTCATCTCCCATGGTGCCTGAGGGGTTGTGGGTCCTTCTGTTCCCGATGCTCAGGATGCAGCACTTGGCTGAGATGCAGGGATGGCTCAGTGAGGGAAACCCAAAACTGTGGTGAAAAGAAAGGGGAAAGGAAAGGACTGGATTTTCTAGCTCATGCAAACACCCAGGATGTGTTGCTGGTCCACACTGCTGAGGGTGGGGAAGGAGCCGGTTTGGGGTGTCCCCACAGTGGGTGCCCCCGGGACAGGAGCAGAGATGCCCTCTGGGACTGGGAGCAATGCACCCACCGTGCTGTGTCCTGCAGTGCCTGACAGGACTGTGGGGCTCTGGGCAGCCACATTCCAGCAGCAGGGATGTGCTGCTTTCCGACGCATTAGGGAAGCAAAAGCAGAGCTGCCACCAAAAAGGGGCACATTTTTCGCAGCCCCCAGGGGACAACCAGGCCCAGTGGCCATTTGGGGACGTCCAGGCGTGCCCTGCCCTCCCTGCTGCAGAGCCAGCAAGTGTGACAAGCTCTGACATCACAGCTGGGAAAATAACATGTTATTTTCCCAGCTTGGATGTGACTTTCCCTGCTATTACTGGCAGCGACCATCTTTGGAGGAGAAAGCAGTGGAGGGCTGTCAGGAGAGGGGAGAGAAATGGTTTTCTGGGCTGGTGGAGCCTGTCTGACCCCCGTGTGCTGCAGGGAAGGGGGGAGGCTGTGCAGGGGTGCCCCATTCCCTCCATCTCATTGCTTTCAGCAGCAAGTCTATGCTGAAGGTGCAGATGCACGTGGGGATCCTGTGGGTTGTGCTGAACAGCCACCCCAGTGTGGTGCTCAGTGTTGAACCAGCTTTATTCCTCCCACACCAGCCCTCTCCCAAATGGGGAAAAGGGCTTGGAACCTCATCAGGAACCATCTCCTGGTGGCATCATCCACAAAACAATGGGAGCAGAGCAGCTTCTGTACTTCGTGCCAGGGACAGATGCTGTGCTGGCCTGTGGGACAACGTGTAGCCCTGTGAGCTGTGAGCATTCCCTCCTGTGCCCATTCTTGTCCATGGCAGAGTTCTCCACTGAAAAACTGGAGTTTGAAAGGATTCAGTGCAATGAGGAGCTGATATTTTTTTGGGAGGGAAAAAAACCCCAAACAAAACAGCAACAACAAAAAAAAGTGTTTCAGCAGAAGTTTCTTGTGTCCCAAACCTTGAGAAATGCTGGATGTTCTCTGGGAGGGCTCAGTTGGGCCACCTCTCCCCTGGGTGCTTAAATTATCACCTGGAAAAAGCCATTTAACTTGAATATCCTCCAGTATTCCAGCGCCACAGTCCTTTGGAGCGCAGATCCGAGGGTGTTCTTGCTGCACCTGCTGGGGTGTCCAGTGAAGTTTTTGGCTGCGGGTAGAGGATGTTGTGTGCCACGGCAGCTCCAGCTCCTCAGGAAGCACAGGGCTGCTCTCTGAGGCAGTGGTGGATGTGACTGTGGTCAGCCTTGGAGGAGCAGCATGTGTTGGCTTCCAGCTGCTGCTTCCAGCTGGGCTGCAAGCGGATCGTGCAGGTCAGGCAGAGCTCAGTGTATTCAAAAAGCCAAGTCCAACCCAGCGTGAGTCTTGCAGAAGGAAAAATCCTCCCCAAAATCATGGAGTCACAGGACAGATGAGACCCACCACGTGCCTGCCCTTTCCCTTGGTGCAGCACCAGGGACTGCAGTGATAGGGCGCTGTGAGCCACGTACCACACGTTTAATTAGTTTACTACTTTAATTGCTATCAACCTTTCCAGTTCCCATGATTTGGTGGTTTCTCACTGTCCCCTTTGCAGTTTCCCACAGTCCTTCCACCCACCCCTTGTGTGTCTCAGGAAGGTATTCCGGGGGCTGGAGCTGGCACAGTGTGAGCAGCTCCTGAACCACCTGGAACGCCCCAGCAGAGGCATTTTGGGCTTTCACAGTGACAGGCTTGTTTCTGCAATGCCCACCTGGCTGTGTAAGGGCAGCGAACATGGGCTGGGGGCTCCCCATTCCTGGGGCAGAGCTGCCCTGGGAAGAGCCCAGAGGGACCCTGGGAAGAGACTTGGGTCGCTGCTGTACTTCGAAGCTCTTCTGCACGTTCCCCCACACATCATCCAAGCTCCAGGCAGCCCCTTGGTGCCCTGGGTCTGGGGGTTCCTGAGGATGCCCCTGGGAGGCTGCACCCCCTCTTTGCACAGCAGGCCATGCCTTGGGGCCGCTCTGCCACTCTCCCAGGCTCTGGGGAAGGGCTTGTCCGGGGTCACCGCAATCGATATCTCATCTGCAGGCTCTCCTAGCGGAAGTGATGGTATATTGGAACATGGTAATGGGTCTTGTCTAGTGGAAAAGGCTAATCTTCCCCAGCTGTACAGGATCTCCGCAGGTGTCCTCCAGCTCTCCCCGCTGCCACCAGCCCTGCAGCCAGCCCAGGAGCACACACTCTTCTTTAAAGCTGCAGCAGTCCAATTTACTGCTGTCCCAGGGAGGGAGAGTTGCCTCCAGCCTGGCCCTGCGGGGTATAGAGCCATGTCCAGGGCTTCCCAGTGAAGGACTGGCACCCCAGGTGGCACCACACAGCTCATGTTTGCTGGCTCAGAGAAGGTGGTGTGTCCTCCACAGGTGGCATTTCCCCAGAGAGAGGAGGAGGAGGATGTGGGGATGATGCCAGGAGGGATGTGGACTCCCAAAGTGCCACCTGCAAGCGCGGGTGGGAAGCAGGCACATGCCCCAGGGAAAAGCAGGGGTGACAGCTCCTTGTTGTTAATTTGGCTCCTCTGGCAATGCTTTTGCTGCCTGGTGGGGTTCCCCACCTGGAACTTGTCCTGTTTTGCCCATCCCTAGGGATTGCTAGCAGAGCCAGGTCTCCCATTCCCCTGCCCAGCTGTCTGTCACATTCAGATGGGCTCTGGGCCCAGGTGGTCCTGGTTTTTGAAGCTGCCCAGCCAGCTCTGGCTGCTGCATCCCTATGGCAAAATCAATGTTCCCATATATCTGGAGGTGGAGGTAGATGTAATTGCCTGGTTTAAGGTTTAATATGCACATGGATTTTAGTGTGGATTGCCAAGAACAACTCAGAACAGTGCACAGGTTTGGGCAACCCAGGGGCTCAGACGTGGCCAGGGTGTGTGCAGCCCCCAGATGTGGGCTGTAAAATGAGGAGCCCAGGGACCTGGAGGGGCCCATCAGAGGCTGAGTCACCATCAGAGACTCAGATGCACAAGAGCCGAGCCAAAGATTGTGCTAACCTTGTTTGGGGCAGGGATTTTTCCTGCAAAAGATGGTAAGAATAGATGGGTCTTCAAAGAAAATTCCCAGAGGGACAAAGCAGCTGTGGGGCTGCTGGGTTTTTGCTTAAACTTTATTTTGTTGGGCAAAGAAGTGGATCACTGGGTCCATGCAAGGAGAAGGAATGATGTTTTGCAGGAAGAAAGCAGGGAGGTCTTGTGTGGTTATACCCTATGGGACTGTGTCCCCCTCACATCCCTTCCTGGGGTCCCAATTCCCACCTGTGTGGTGTGTGGGAGGAGACCCCAGCCCACCTCTCCCACAGGTGGGGCAGAAACTCCTCTTTTGCTACCCAGTATCATGTCATTTCGTGCAGGTGGTTGTCCCTGGGCCAAGGCACCAAGGACGTTGTCCCCTCAGCAGGGACACTGGTAGCAATGGTGCACCCACAGGAAAACCTCGGGATTCCCCATAGTGAGCATTTGGTTCCCATTTTCCTCTGGAGATGTGGCTCCAAGCAGTTCCTGGGAGTGGGGAAGGTGCCCTGGGCCCTGCACATGGGTCAGAGGGCTGCGGCACAGCACGGTTATTAAATGTTCCCAATCTTTCCAAAGGGAAAGCCATCCCCCCGGTGAGGTTGGGAGTCGCCGGTCGTGAGCTTCCCAGGCAAGGGGGGAGATGGTCGCCTTTGTAAACCCCTTAACAAGGTGGCTTTGTCTCCTCTTTTAACAAGAAGCTCCCTTGCTTCTTCCCCGGGAGTTTCCCAACGCCGGGTCCCTGAAAGCCAGCTTTATGCTCCGGCCGGGGACGCGCTGCCGTGGGGCCGGCAGGGATCAGAGGGACACAGGGGCCCTTCTGCACACCCCTGACAAAGGCTGCCCCGGGGGGACAGAGCGTCAAAGCTCAGCCGGCTCAGGGGGGGACAAGGGACCCACAGAGGAGGCTGCGGTGTGAGCCCACCGTCCATCTGGTCACTCGATCACGGCGGGCAGCGACCCAGCGATGCTCAGGGAGGGCCAGGGGGTCCTTCTGGTCTGTCTCCCCTGGAGAGGGGGCGGGGGAAGTGGCTGGGAAGGGACAGGTAGGTTTTGTTGGCCGCAGGTAACCGGATCCACAGCCGTTGGTGCCTTCCTGCCCTCTCCTTCGGCAGGGGGTGAGATGGGAGGTGGGAGTGAGGAGTTGAGGGCTGGAAACTGAGACCTCCATTCAGAGGGGGTGCTTTCCCTCAGCTGGATGGAAATGGATTTGGAGAAAGCCTTGGGGTGTCTCTGCTCTGGCACCCAACAGCTCTCTGGGCCGAACCAAGGCACGTGCAGCAGTAGGAAGGGACCACTTGGGAGTGATCCTCGGCTATGAGGGGTATCCTGGTCATGCAGAGGCATCACCCATCCCCATGTCAGTGTCCAAGCTCCCCTCTGCCAACTCCTTGTCCTTCCCCAGTGGCTCTGCTGGCCTCTGCTCAGTCTGG